TGAGATTAAGAGTGTGATCGGAGAGTTTTTGTGTTCTTCTGCGGCGGGTCTTGCAGAACTTAGCTCCGACCGCATGGACAGTTTCCACGAGCTTGTCATTCATATCGTCCACTTCATTGCAGTCTTCTAGGCACTGAAAACGGTTTTGTAACTCGAGCTGAAAGGTTTCGGGACTTTGGTACAGAGCACGAGGGGGGCGGAGCGTTGACTTCATTAGACGAGACCTCTCCAACTTAACGTTTAGGTTCAGTGTGCCTCTAACCATTCGGTGATCGCTACCAGTTTTCACCCTCGCGATTACGGAGACATCACTGAACAGTTGTCGTCTGGTCGTCATAATGAAGTCAATCTCATTTTTTGTCGAACCGTCGGGGCTCGACCAGGTCCACTTCCTGTGGGGCCGCTTCTGGAAGAAAGAGTTCATCATAAAGAGTCCCTCTTTCTCCATGAAGTCGGCCAGCTGCTGGCCCCTTGGGTTCCGTTGCCCTATTCCAAATTTCCCTACTTTCAGCTCACCGTTCTCTCTTGTGCCTAGTTTTGCATTGAAGTCTCCCATTAACACCGTATATTGGGTTTTGGAGGAATGCATGGCTCTAGAGATATCCTCATACATTTCCTCCACCTCCTCATCGGGGTGTGCTGAGGTTGGTGCGTAAACCTGTATGACCTTCAGCGAATACCGTTTGGTGATTCTGAGTATAAGGTACGCAACCCTCGTCGACACACTCCCGATCTTTACAACGTTGTTAACGAGAGACTTGTGGACGATAAATCCGACACCTCCTTGGGACAGATGGTCGCCCTCCCGGTGATAGAACAAGTTGCCGGATTCGAGGATTACCGTGTCCTCCCCCTCTCTGCGGACTTCGGATAATCCTATAATATGCCAGCGCAACTTGTCTATCTCTTCTTCCAGCTCCACGATCTTCTCGTCAGTCCTCAGGGTGCGTGCGTTGTACGTTGCCAGGTCAAGTCGTCTAAGGTGGCAACCGAACCTCCACCGGAGATTCTTAGCACCCCCTGCCCCGCCGTTACCATGGTCGCCACCGTAGCCAGGAATAGCGGGGCCGCCGGGGACTGGGGGCCGTCTCTTTGTTACAATCATAGAGGGGGTATTTGCCATAGTTGCCACGCTTGGCGAGCGGGTTGGCAACCGCAGTTTTTTTATTATAATTTTGGCTATTATCAGGAAGATGCTGCTGCCCATCTCCTGCCTGTTTCCCTTTGTCGCCTTTTACGACACCCACGGGAGGATATGGGGTAGTGGATATTCTTGGCCGCCACTACACGGCAATATTTCATCCAGATCGACCCTTTTATACCCTTTTTAGGTGGTGTAACTAGCGTCCTTACTAACGAGCATTTGACAGTGTTTATTTTTGACGCTCTATAATGATAAATGTTTTAATGATTTCATGATTTTTTATTAATAATGTAAAGCTATTTAAATACCCATTTCAAACATACCAATATTTATATAAATATAATTCGTTTCTAGCCATTACAGCCATTTTTCACGCAAACTCAGAGAGGTGCGATTTTTGTGATGCTGAGTGTATTACAACTATCTAGTCTTTCAGTGTAAGTTAATTGCCTGTGTATTTTGTTATTATTGAAATAAAGATACTTAAGAAATTTCTTTTACACTTATTCTAACCTATTTATATGTGTTTGATAATATGGATTCCAGACAGAAGAGCAATATTCAAGATTACTGAGATAAAAGAGTTAAAAGGAATTACTTTCGATTTTTTATTTTTAAAAGTTTTAATCACCCGTTTAATTAATCCTAAAAATTTCAATGAATTTTTTATAACTTAATCCATATGTGTAGTAAAACTTAATTTACAATCAATTAAAATACCTAAATCACGAATGACATTTGTCTTTTCGGGTAGATTTTTTATTAAAAGATATTTGGTAAAATTTTTCACGATTAAGGTTTACATTATTAGGCTCGCACCAGGAGACTAACCTATTAATATCATTTTGTAGTAAGTTTCCATCATTAACGATTTTTATTTCTTTTTAAAATTTTAAATCATCTGCAAATAGAAGTACATCACTGTTCAGGAAACAATTTACTACATCATTTATAAAAGTGTTGAATAGGTGTGGGCCCAAGTGTGAGCCCTGTGGCACACCTGAATATGCCAAAAATGCCTTAGATTGATATCCATTTATTACAACCTTAAGTTTTCTGTTGTGTAAGTAAGAAAACAACCATTTTAGAAAGGCATTCATGAATCTGATTGGATAAATTGTTGAGACTCTATACTCGAGATGGATGCACTATATACATTCTTATATAAGTTTATTCGGAACCCTTACTTTGTCCGGTTTTTATTATTTTGGGAGTTGTTGTCAGGAAGATGCTGCTGTCCATCTCCTGTTTCAGATTCGCTCTGTCCCTTTTTACGACATCTGCAGGATGACATGGTAGTGTGGATTCTCCTACGGCACCAATACATTGGCTTTTTCTCTTAATTAATAAAAGAATTTGGTTTCAGTCAATACCAAAACCGCATGAGGCTAGAGATAAGATTCAATTCACACCAATTAGTCATATAGATATCAGGCCAGTAGAGTGTGATATAGAAAATGATTGTCAGAACGAAATGTTTAGCCTTGAATCTGTTAAAGTTGAAGAAGAGAATTTCGAAATTGAGAATTCCAAATTTGAAGTAAATGGGAATCATGAAACAGGTAAAATATGCACATTTTGTGATATTATTAAAATAAGCTACAAGTTACCTAATGACAAGTGGTTACTGTAGTACATGGACACAAAATAACATTATAGTGACATATTGGCGCGGATTAGGTGTGTTTCAGACGGGTACCAATTTACTCGACAAGGTGCCTTTAACGCAAACATTACGCATTCTTAATAGAATGGCTGAAGACAGTGACCTATTCTGTTGCACCTTGCGTGAATTCACTAGGGTAGGATTGTTTGCAATTTGTTACAATTAATGACCACATTTTTGTTATGCATGAAAAGAACTACACTGTCGCGTTAAGTTATTCCTGTCATGATAGTTGTTAGTTTAAATAAACAAATAATTGTCAATGTAAAATAATGAGCTTCTTTTCTGACTTTTTTTACTTATGCATTAATATATTTAAAAAATATTTTGACCCTGTATAAATGCAGCCAGTATGTATGTCACTAAGATGGATTAATTTCACAGGAATTAATTATATACTTACAACTGGTAAGCAACCTGTCTTTGCAAATTTCTGTAGGAATGCCACAAAGCACAGGTTTTGGTGAGTGCAGGTGGCCGGAGGCCCAATTCCTCCCCCCCCCCCCACCCCCATCAACATGGTAGCGGAATTACACCATAGACTACCCCTGGAGAATCCCTCGCTGAGCATCCACGACCATGTTATTCCAATCCTGAGCGTGGGTGCTCAGGCTGCCCCGCGTATTCTGGGGGGGGGGGGGGGGCAAAATTCCGCTCCAAAACATAACTGCTCGGGGCAAACTGAGCAACAATACCAAGGCGACCTCTGCCACGCTATCCGTGAATTTCTGCAACATCAGGGGACTTCATTCTAACCTAAACGCCGTCCACTACCATCTCGAGACGGCGAAGTCGGCCTTGCTCTTTCTGACCGAGACGCAGGTTTCCTCTCCGTCTGATATTTCGTATCTCTCCTGCCCGGGGTACAAATTGGAGCACTCCTTTGTGCCTCGGGCTGGAGTTTGCGTGTATGTCAGAGAGGACATCTGTTCTCGACGCCTCGGCAGTCTTGAAGGTTCGGACCTGTCCATCCTTTGGCTACGCGTAGACAGCGACGACCATCCGCGCGTCTACGGGTGCCTCTATAGGTCCCATAGCGGTAATGCCGAAAAAGACCGACTCATCGACCACGTCCAAATGGCTACAGATTTCTTGCTACAACAGGTCCCATCCGCAGAGATCGTGATCCTTGGCGATTTTAACGCCCACCATGCCGAATGGCTCGGTTCACGTTTAACCGATCATGCGGGGAGATCTGTTTATGACTTTGCCTTGGCATATGTTCTGACACAACTGGTTACTTCGCCTATGCGGATTTCAGATGTGGAGTATCATACACCTTCCCTGTTGGACCTTCTGCTGACCTCTCATCCGGACGGATATCAGGTTTCCATCGATGCCCCTCTCGGCTCTTCGGAACATTGTCTGATCCGGAGTGTGGTGCCACTCACGCTCCCTTTGCGGTTGCGTTCTGCAGGTTGCCGCAGTGTTTGGCATTACAGGTCGGCGCAACTCTGACACCACTGCAGTTCGGTCACAAGTAGAACAAACTGCAGTACCACGACAAACAGAAATATATAATTGTGATATTTGCGAATTTAAAACATCTCATAAAGGTTACATTTTGGCACATCTTAAAGCGCACGTCGCTAAACAAATGTACTGTTGTAATAATTGTGAATATAAATGTATTAGAAAACGTGAGTTGCAAACACATATGAAAATACATACCGGAGAAAAACCTTTTTCGTGTAATATCTGTGAATATAAATGTATTAGAAAATGTGCGTTGCAAGCACATATGAAAATACACATCGGTGAAAAACTTTTTTCGTGTAATATCTGTGAATATAGATTTATTAGAAAATGTGATTTGCAAACACATATGAAAATACATACTGGAGAAAAATCTTTTTCATGTAATGTCTGTGAATACAGATCTATTACAAAAGGTAATTTGCATAAACATATGAAAATACACACCGGTGAAAAACCGTTTTCGTGTAATATCTGTGTATATAGATGTATTACAAGAAGTCGTTTGCAAACACATATGAAAATACATACTGGAGAAAAACCTTTTTCGTGTAATATCTGTGAACATAGATTTATCAGAAAATGTGATTTGCAAATACATATGAAAATACACACCGGTGAAAAACCTTTTTCGTGTAATATCTGTGAATATAGATGTATTACAAAAAGTCGTTTGCAAACCCATATGAAAATACACACCGGTGAAAAACCTGTGTCGTGTCATATCTGTGAATATAGATGTATTACAAAAAGTAATTTGCAAACACATTTAAAAACGCACACTGGAGCAAAACCTTGTTCGTAAGCTATCTGTCAAAATAATAATACTATTGACAATATTTCAAAGTGGGCGACATGTACGAGAAATAATTTATGCATTAACGTAGAAAAGACATGTTATATTAAATTTAGTAATTATGGAACATTGATTAATAATCTTATTATATATTGCAATGGACAATCTGTTAATGAAATGACTGAAACAAAATTTCTGGGAATATTATTGGACAAACATGTGAACTGGAAAGCCCAAGTTGAAAAGGTCTGTTCTAAAATAAACAGTTACATTTTTCTACTTAGCAGCCTGAGAAGAATTACATCTTGATTTCTTATATTTACACGAACACTACACATTTAAATAAAACTAATTTTACGGATTTTATTGCATATATTTTATGTTAAAATTAATAATTTTTCATCTGGAGGTAGCCGTGGTTAACTATGACATTGGGCTTCATACACTTCAGTCCCCCCCCCCCATTAGTTTTATTTAAAAGAATTACATTTCATAAAACTTTAATAACGGCGTACTATGCATACATTTATTCTGCACTTGATTATGGTCTTTTACTTTGGGGTAACAGTACAGATGCTGTTAAGTCCTTTACAGCCCAAAAGAAATGTATTCGAGCTATGCATGGCACGAGATTCATCGTGTAAACCGTATTTTACAAAAATTATACATTTTGATGTTTGCCGTGTAGTGGCGGTCAAGAATATCCACTACCCCATATCCTCCCGTGGGTGTCGTAAAAGGCGACAAAGGGAAACAGGCAGGAGATGGGCAGCAGCATCTTCTTGATAACAACAAACTAACAATAAAAAAAAACTGCGGTTGCCAACCCGCTCGCCAAGCGTGGCAACTATGGCAAATACCCCCCTATGAATGACAGTAACAAAGAAACGGCCCCCAGTCCCCGGCGGCCCCGCTATTCCTGGCTACGGTGGCGACCATGGTAACGGCGGGGCAGGGGGTGCTAAGAATCTCCGGTGGAGGTTCGGTTGCCATCTTAGACGACTCGACCTGGCAACGTACAACGCACGCACCCTGAGGACTGACGAGAAGATCGTGGAGCTGGAAGAAGAGATGGACAAGTTGCGCTGGCATATTATAGGATTATCCGAAGTCCAAAGAGAGGGGGAGGACACGGTAATCCTCGAATCCGGCAACTTGCACTATCACCGGGAGGGCGACCATCTGTCCCAAGGAGGTGTCGGATTTATCGTCCACAAGTCTCTCGTTAACAACGTTGTAAAGATCGGGAGTGTGTCGACGAGGGTTGCGTACCTTATACTCAGAATCACCACACGGTATTCGATGAAGGTCATACAGGTTTACGCACCAACCTCGGCACACCCCGATGAGGAGGTGGAGGAAATGTATGAGGATATCTCTAGAGCCATGCATTCCTCCAAAACCCAATATACGGTGTTAATGGGAGACTTTAATGCAAAACTAGGCACAAGAGAGAACGGTGAGCTGAAAGTAGGGAAATTTGGAATAGGGCAACGGAACCCAAGGGGCCAGCAGCTGGCCGACTTCATGGAGAAAGAGGGACTCTTTATGATGAACTCTTTCTTCCAGAAGCGGCCCCACAGGAAGTGGACCTGGTCGAGCCCCGACGGTTCGACAAAAAATGAGATTGACTTCATTATGACGACCAGACGACAACTGTTCAGTGATGTCTCCGTGATCGCGAGGGTGAAAACTGGTAGCGATCACCGAATGGTTAGAGGCACACTGAACCTAAACGTTAAGTTGGAGAGGTCTCGTCTAATGAAGTCAACGCTCCGTCCCCCTCGTGCTCTAATCCAAAGTCCCGAAACCTTTCAGCTCGAGTTACAAAACCGTTTTCAGTGCCTAGAAGACTGCAATGAAGTGGACGATATGAATGACAAGCTCGTGGAAACTGTCCATGCGGTCGGAGCTAAGTTCTGCAAGACCCGCCGCAGAAGAACACAAAAACTCTCCGATCACACTCTTAATCTCATGGCTGTTAGACGGGAGATGAAGCTACATTCTTCAACAGACTTGACAGCATACAGGCATCTGAACAGACAGATCTCCAAATGCATGCGGCGGGACCTACGCAACTTCAATACAGCTCGTATTGAAGAAGCGATCGAGCGGAACCAAGCCTCCAAAGTCTTTGCCAGAGATCTGTCTGCCAGAAAGCGCCAACTGTCAAAGCTGAAGACAGAATGTGGCAGCATCGTTTCCGGGACACCTGAGATTTTGAGTGAGATTGAGAGGTTCTATGGGCAGTTGTACACGTCATCGTTGGAGCCACACGCAAGTGTGAGTAACGATCCAAGAGCGAGTCTCATCCGACACTATTCCGAAGATATCCCGGACGTCAGTCTGAGCGAGATTAGAATGGCTCTCCAGCACCTTAAAAACGGTAAGGCCCTAGGCGAGCATGGAATTACAGCGGAGCTTCTGAAAGCGGGTGGAAAACCGGTACTTGAAGTCCTTCAGAGGCTCTTTAATTCCGTCCTCCATGGTGGCATTACACCGGAGGCGTGGAGCAGAAGTGCGGTGGTCTTGTTCTTCAAGAAAGGTGACAACGCTCTCTTGAAGAACTACAGACCGATTTCCCTTCTGAGCCGCGTCTACGTGCTGTTTTCGAGAGTCATTACGAATCGTCTTGCCCGCAGACTTGACAACTTCCAGCCTCCCGAACAAGCCGGTTTCCGAAGGGGCTTTAGCACCATAGACCACATACATACCCTTCGGCAAATTGTAAAGAAGTCCGAAGAGTACAATTTGCCACTATGTCTGGCGTATGTGGACTATGAGAAAGCCTTTGATTCCGTCGAAATTTGGGCGGTGCTGCAGTCCCTTCAGCGGTGCCAAGTTGACTGTCGGTATATCGAAGTGTTGAAGTGCTTGTACAGTAGGGCTACGATGACTATCCGAGTACAGAACCAGAGTACGAAACCTATCCAATTGCAGAGAGGTGTAAGACAGGGTGACGTCATATCCCCGAAACTCTTCACCGCTGCATTGGAAGACGTTTTCAAGCTTCTGGACTGGAAAGGATACGGTATCAACATCAATGGCGAGTACATCACTCACCTTCGATTTGCCGACGATATAGTCCTTATGGCAGAATCGCTGGAGGACCTAAGCACTATGCTCAATGACCTCAATAGTGTTGCCCAACGGATAGGTCTTAAGATGAACATGGACAAAACTAAGATCATGTTTAATGTCCATGTCACACCTATGCCGGTAGTTGTTGGGAACACTAAGCTCGAAGTTGTTGACGAGTATGTTTACCTGGGACAAATAGTCCGACTAGGTAAGTCCAACTTCGACCGAGAGGTCAATCGACGGATTCAACTCGGTTGGGCAGCGTTCGGGAAATTACGGCACATCTTCTCGTCAGGTATACCTCAAACCTTGAAAACGAGACTGTACACCCAGTGCGTGTTGCCAGTGATGACATACGGAACTGAGACGTGGTCCTTCACTGCTGGCCGGATGAGGAAGCTCAAGGTCGCTCAGCGAGCTATGGAGAGGGCTATGCTCGGAGTTTCTCTGCGTGATAAACTTAGGAATGAGGATATCCGCAGTAGAACCAGAGTAACCGACATAGCCCAACGGATTAGTAAGCTGAAGTGGCAATGGGCCGGCCATATAGCTCGAAGAACCGACAACAGATTGGGAAGAAAGGTTCTCGAGTAGCAGCCTCGTACCGGTAGGCGAAGTGTAGGGCGTCCCCCCACGAGATGGAGTGACGACCTGGTAAGACATGCAGGAAGTCGATGGATGCAGGTGGCTCAGGACCGTGCTTTGTGGCATTCATTGGGAGAGGCCTATGTTCAGCAGTGGACTTGTGAAGGGCTGTAATGATGATGATGATGTATGTACATCTTAAAGGAGTCAATCGTTTTTGGTAATATGTCTAAATAATAGTTATGCATCCCGGTATTCATCAGAGAGCATCACAATTCGAGCGTAATAATTACATAGCATAATAATCAACGCCCACGCAGATTGCTGAATTGCAATACAATAATTGATGAAACTGCACTCCAGCTCGCAATTTGCCGCGTCTTTTTCTTTAATAGCCTCCTGCAATCTTCTTATTTGGCCTGCGTAGTCGAGAGTATTAACCCGAAATAATGGCTCCCTTTTCCAATTATTCCACCATAATTATTCCTTCAGCGTCCCAAAAATGGACGCCATAACTTTCCCGCCAAACTTGACGCTTTGGATTTCTTTGGCGTCGGGAAGTGGCTCGGTTCCAAACCGTTGATTGTTGTTTGGTTTCAGGATCGAAATGGTAGATTTAGGTCTCGCATGAGCCATGGGGTCACGAAACGTAACACAAAAAATCTGATCTGCTTGGAACCTTTCGAGATTCACCCTCGAAATGTCGACTAATTGTTTCTTTAACCGACGAGGTTAACATTCTCGGTACCTAACGGGCAGATACCCTTTTCATATGCAATTCGTTCGCAAGGATTCTTTGAAAACTGCCATATGAGATACCTGTGACCTCAGCTATATGACTAATGGCCACTTCGATCTGCCAATATACGACATCTTCGACTCTTTTCACGTTATCTTCAGTGAGGGATGTGGATGGGAGTTCATCTTTCGTGGATGTTCAGCCCAGCGAAGCAAGCAAAATTTTTTTTTCGGATTTTTATGTGCACTGGAAATAACCTATTATCATTACTTTTGGATCACCTCTCGTATTTAGGAATACGATTTTTCATTAAGGTACCGGTTCCATGTATGTTTCTCTCTACTGTTTTCCAGTAGAGGAATAAATGTGGAATAGCGGTTTCTTTTTGAGTTTCATGACCTCATGCAAGTATTGTCAAGAGTTGTAGACTAATGATATACTATTCCTTATGAATCTGACTATAATATACAAAAAGATTTTTTCAAATCGGACTGGTAGTTCCAGAGATTGGCGTGTTTAAACAAACAAAAAACAAAAAAAACCCTTCCACTTTATTATATTAGTATAGATTACAAAGTTATAATGCAGTTGTTATGTTATGTTCATGTTATTTTTATGTTTATGTCATGTTCTCTTAGCCTTAGGTGTCGTTCCAAGCTCATGGAAGACAGTCTTAGTGCATTCTATTCCTAACAAAGGCTGGGACCTATCCAAATACAGGTCTATCGCCGTCACCTCCTTGTTCTCAAGAATAATGGAATCCATTATTAACTGCCAGCTCACGCGTCACGCGGTACCTTGAAGAGCATAAGCTGATTAGTGACCTTCAATACGGTTTCCCTCGAAGCTGTTAGGATCGATAGGACGGAAACGGCGTGTATGTATGTTTGTATACATACATACAATTAACTATTTTATGGGTGTCAGTGGAGAAAGGACCTGGGTTGCCAAAGCCATCACATTTTTCTGGCAAACCCGTAGTCGCCTCTTACGAAACTCACGGGATAAAATGTGATGATGAATTCTCTTATCCCTCACTTACACACCAATTTCGACTGTACTGTGTGTATAACAATAATTCAGTGTGGAGTTCGTAACATCGACTACTAAATGAATGTAATTGTAACATGGTCAGAAGAATCATTCTTTCTCTCCAAAAATGAATATGAGAGACATTAATTAATTCCTAGCAATTTTCTCTATTTCTCCCTGGGTTAACTAACAGAATGCCATAAGGCATAAACTCCGCCCATTGTGAACTGTTTAAGGTGTCTTGCAATAAAGATGCAATAATTTAAATAAATAAAAAGTTTAACTTCGACAAATAATTTTTCAGAAACTTCTGAGAAGATTAAATCAAATTCTACTGATTGTAACATAAACGATGTTCGTGAAAAAAACCTCGATTTAGAAGAGCCTACTACTCGTATTAAATCAAACCCTAAAATTAAAAAAGATAATCAACCAATTAATAAAAAAGGAAAGCATCCTGCAAAGATAATGAAAACGAAAATTTTGAAACAAAAGAATGTAAATATACTTAAGAAAAAAATATCTGGGACATCAAATAAATACATTTTTGAATGTGATGGTTGTAGTAAAAAATTTTCAACAAAAGACATTCTCGCCAAACACATTTCATACAGTCATAAGTCGCAAAACAACTCAGACACCACTGCAGTTGGGACACAAGTTGAACAAATTCCAGTACCACAACTAAAAGAAATATTTAATTGTGATATTTGCGAATTTAAATCATCTCAAAAACGTTGTTACATTTTGGCACATCTTAAAGCGCACGTCGCTAAACAAATGTACTGTTGTAATAATTGTGAATATAAATGTATTAAGAAAAGTAAGTTGCAAACACATGTGAAAATACACACCGGTGAAAAACCTTTTTCGTGTAATATCTGTGAATATAGATGTATTAGAAAAAGTAATTTGCAAGCACATAATATGAAAATACACACCGGTGAAAAACATTTTTCGCTTAATATCTGTAAACATAGATTTATTAGTAAATGTGATTTGAAAAGACATATGGAAATACACACCGGAGAAAAACCTTTTTCGTGTAATATCTGTGAATATAGTTTTATTACAAAAAGTCGTTTGCAAACACATGAAAATACATACCGGAGAAAAACCTTTTTCGTGTAATATCTGTGAATTTAGATGTAATAGAAAATGACATTTGCAAACACATATAAAAATACACACCGGTGAAAAACCTTTTTCGTGTAATATCTGTGAATTTAGATGTAATAGAAAATGACATTTCCAAAGATATATGAAAATACACACTGGTGAAAAACGTTTCTCGTGTAATATCTGTGAATACAGATGTATTACAAGAAGTAATTTGCAAACACATATAAAAACACACACTGGAGCAAAACCTTTTTCGTGAGCTGTCTGGCAAAATGTTTACAATATTGAGTAAACGTGTTTTATATAAATATGTTTGTACCAGATAAAAATCAATTTTTTGTGAATTTGTGATGTAATTACATAACGAATAGAAAAACCTTTCCGTGTTATTATCAATGGTAAAAGTTCTTCCGGCTCACCTGTACTAATGGGTGTCCCTCAGGGCTCGATTCTCGGCCCATTCCTATTTCTAGTGTATATTAATGACTTACCTTCTCTTGTAGAGGATAATCATGATATAGTATTATTTGCTGATGATACTTCCTTGATTTTTAAACTTAAACGTCAATCGTTTAAATGTGACGAGGTGAATAATGCTATATCAAAATTAGTGCATTGGTTTAACGTTAAAAATCTACATTTAAACGGAAATAAAACTAAATGTATTAAATTTACAACAACGAATGTTAAAAAACTGAGTACCAATGTGTTTTTAAATGGGGAAGAACTGAGCCCTGTTGAATCCACTGTTTTTCTTGGCATCACTCTCGACGCAAAGCTTCAGTGGGGCCTCCATATATCCTCCATATAAACTAGCAAGCAGACTAAGTTCTGCAGCCTATGCTGTAAAAAAGATTAGAGGTCTCACTAGTATCGAGACAGGTAGATTTTTAGAAGCTTTTACAAAAATTTACTTCGCAAATATCCGCGTTATAAAATAAAATGATGTGTCTTACCTAGTATGAAGAAGCACCTCCCGCCCTCCCTCAATTGCGTGCACTATCCCCGTCAACACTAATCCCAGCACCGCTACTTCCAACACCACTACACTAGGCAAGACACACCACTGACGATAATACGACACGTGTTTCGCCTCTACACGAGGCATCCTCAGGTGATATAGACTCTACGGTGGCTAACCGCTAAGTTCACTTCGCGGTTAAGAGTATAGTAATATATAGAACAAACTACACCAACTATGCACTGTGCATCCACGGCTGGTAATCTTTGAGCAAAAATCTTTGACCGTATGAAATGCAGTCAGCAATTCAGAACATGACGTTTCCCTCGTCCCTCCCACCTCCGGCCCTTTCTCGCTGCCGCCATTTTGTCATGTTATTGTCGCGTAACTGTCAAGTTAGAAGTTTTCTTGGAAATTTTTATTTTGTTTTTCTATGAAGTATGAACTAACTATAAATTATAAATAAAGTTTTATTGGCATTTTACTGCTATTTTACTAAAGCTTTTTTATTGTTTAATAGGTTATTTATTTCGACGGGACGTTTTCTTTAGCTTTAGTGTATTTTGTATATAATTTTTAGTTTCAAAATCTATTTTTAAGTGTTTCATTCCCAGTTGTGCAAATAACAGAGAAGAGTCTGACGAAGGCCAAAGAAACAAGTGGTTGGACTTTATAAACTGTGACAAACTTAAAAGTACGCTGCATTCCAGTAACCTTTTCAAGAAGCCTGCTTGGTCACAAAATTTTTGAATAAAGTGTTTCATTATGCTAAATCTGACATTAATAAGGTTGGATAAACTCAACACTATTCTTTGGAGTAAATTGAGTTAAGTTTATCATCAAAGATGACAAAGGTATGTACATATAATTATTCTTTAATAAACATAACTGCTCAGTATATTCAGTATTCATATAAAATTTAAAAAATTATAATAAAGATGTACGGACATACTGTACATTGAATAAAACTACTTAATTCCTGGCATTTCAAGTGATCTCTTTGATAACAACTTAGTAATAATAATAAACTGGTTGCCAACTTGTCTGCCAAGTGTTACAACTATGGAAAATGTACACCTTATACGATAACCTATGAAGGCCTATGTTTACCAGTAGCTTTATGATAGTCTGCAATGAATGAATGATGAATGAAACATAATAAATTATTTATATAATAAATAATTTATTAAAATTTTAAGTTGATAGCTGAGTTAAATGAGGAATTATTTAAATAATTAATTGTCAACATTATTTTATGCACAATTGCACACAAATTACAAAATCAAGGCTGTCTGAATGACAATGACAAACAATCTTTTATGTTTTTATTTCAGATGATACAGTCCAAATAAACTAGTGTGATATTTGATCAGCCATTATAAAAAAGGTATAAGGAATAATGTTGCTATCAATACACATAATAATTGATGGAAATGTATTAAAATGGCAAGATGATGTGTACTAAACAGACTGCAAGCATACTCAATTGCGCTTGTTAGATAAACTAAATGATGACCATATGATTCCCAACGAAGTAAAAAAATTAAGGTAATAATCATGTAAAATTTAAATTGCAAAACAATCGCCATTCTAAAACTTTAGTTCAGATAATATTTTTGTTGGGATTAGTAATATGTTTATATTTTTGAGCAAATCTGATCTCTGTCCACACCACTGAAATAAATGAATTAATGTTAATTCCAATTTTAAGTGCAAATTTATCATGTTCTGGAATATTGTGACGAAATCTGTGTGTCTAAGGAATAAAAATATTTATAGATGTGGTCACCGGCTCCGTGGCGTAGTGGCTTAGCAATGAGTTGCAACGCTTGGAGCCACGGGTTGGAATCCCGCACGGAACGAGTATTTGTACGGCCTACATATAATTGTTCCAGGTCTGGATGTTTGTCCTTGTGCAATATATGTTTGTAAACTGACTCCACAATACAGGAGAAAATCCTAGTGTGGGGGTAACGTTTTTTTTTAAAAAAAGCACTTTGCCCAACTCATTGTTTCATACCCTTCTGAGAAATGACACAGAGTCTGTGCCCCGCAGTAGAACATAAACATAGACTCCAATAGATAATTGGCTACTTTACAAATACTTTTATCCTCCCAACCTTCTATCAAAAATCAATGTACTTAATTATCTTAGGTATCAATGATAATTATGTTTAAAAATTATTGGAAATTTCTGTATAATTGTGAAAGCTTCTTAGATTTATGTGAAAGTAACTTTATCTGATTACAATGGTCTCTTCTTGTCTTGACATTTTCTATGCAAACATTTATAAACAACAACAATTACAATTAGCGCACATATTCAAACTTGTAATTTACATATTTAAATATTCATTTTTCCAGCTCAATACACTAGATTTCGAATATATTGAAGAGAACCTTTCCACTGAAAATATTCAAGTGCAAGCAGCAAGAGAGCAATTATATGTTTACTGTATAGCATATACCACAGATGGGATTCTGAAAGGCACGGACATCATTAGAATCGAAAAGTGTACATTGCCACCAATGCAAAAAAGCCTTTAAACGAGTTTAAAAAAGTTAAAAAATAAATCATATAATAAATAATATATAGAATGCATTTTATTTCTACGAATCCTCCTTCTTCATAATAAAATAATAATAAAATAGTAATTAATAATATATATATAAAAATAATATATAGGTTATATATATATATATACATATATGTGTACATATATATATATATATATATATGTGTATATATATGTATATATTATACAAGGCTGAAATAAAATTATTCCTTTGCCTATATCCAATTCATATTTTTAAAAAAAACGAAATGTCATGTTCTAATTTGCTGTACGGTCCAAACTAAATGTACCAGAGACGTCTGTCTGAACGCGTAGTTTCTATATAGTTTGTGCTTTCAATCCTGTCATGCGCCTAAAAATTATTTTGTTTTGGTTTTGGATTATAATATTTGGCATAATAACTGCCTGCCTTACTGCATTTTATTGTTTTTGAAAACTCCTGTTTATTGATGTAAAAGTGAATCCAATTATATTAAAGCTATAGGAAACCAGAATGGCCTTTAGTGAAATTTGTAGAATTTGTTTATGCATTAATGTACGCATGATTGTTCTAAAGAAGACTAGTCTCCGAAATTTGTATAAAACATTGACGAACAGTTTTGTAAGTTTGTTAATATTTCTTAATACTGCAAATTGAAGTTGCGGTAATTTGTTGTTATCGCCCTAGAAATACCGTGTTACTTGCCTGATATAAAATGCGATTGATCGGGCTAAGCTAAGGTGCAGCTTTAAATATAGTGCAAACAGACAAATGCAACCAGATTCTGAAAAACAACAACTAGCCTGAAATCCTACTACGTACTTGAAGAGAAACCGAGACATAGTAGTCTGCAACACGCGTTAGAGCCCGTGGGCTCAACTTCCACGCGACCCGCACTGCCGTTTAAGATATTTTCGCGATGGCTGTTCTAGTACACATTATTACTATTACTGAGTATTATTGCGATTTTCTGTTAAGAAATTAACATCCACACATATTTGGACTATTAAAGTAGGAAATTAGTGCACATGTGCTTATAGACACAGAAATTCCTTCACTCTCATATTTCTCATATTCCAAGGGAATAATGTGCACATGTGCTTGCTTACACACACGTACAATATAATCCTGTCATGCACTGATAAATAGTCTCCATTGTTACCAAAATTCTGTCTGTAGAGCATTATTATCATTATTTTATATGTAGTGGAGCCACGCTGCAGCTGTATTATGGTTGTATCACAGGTTGGTCAGCTCTACCGGGGTGGTATCATGCTCGTTCAGAATACCGGCATTAAATAGCAACTTAATGCTGCTCTGACTTGTATGGTGAGTGTAGAGAACTGGACATCGTTTTTACTGAGGCAAGGTGTTCCGTCTTGGTCTTCAAGGGTCAACAGCACATCTGCATTTTGGTTTTTAATTGAGGATAAATTGTAGATGTCTATGGGCATTCACTCACCATCAGGTGGACTGAGTGCTCGGTTGTCACCCTTATGTATAAAAAAAATTAGCAGGCCGGCAGTTGAAACAACCGATATAAGCTGAAGCTTTTTACTTCAAAGTTATTTAGTGATCTTATGTTATGATCTCTATTAAGTTTGTTGTATAGCCTAAGGGCCAAAAAGTCAAAATGTCTTCTAAATACAGCACTATTTGGAACAGGAGATCATTCCATCCTTTTTTTAAGTTTTAATTTAGGGTCAGTGACACAATGATATCTCCTTAAACTTTGAAAAAGAAATATTTTGCAAACAGATGACACTTTCTCTCTGTCATATACAGAAACTGTTGATTGGTGAAATGTTAGACGAAAGATTACTTTTAAGATACTTAGCTCTTTGTAAATGCAGTAATTAAAGATACACTCTCCCAGTGCTTTGTATGTTTTAATGAGTAGTTTGTGATTGGTCATTGTCCATAAACTTTTAAATATATAAATGAATATTCTTAGTTTATTAGCCACTGCATCAGTATGGGCCTCCCAAGTTAATTTATGTCAATGATTACACCAAGATATCTGATCAAATCTGTTTTGACTAAATTACTACATTGACATAGTGCTAAGTTTGTAAGGGTACCTGTGGATAGTAATTACAGTTTCTAGTTGGAAGAGGAGCATTAGTCTTACCAAAACATAGGTAACATTAAGGGATATTAAATTATCTTCAAGCTAACTAGTCACTAATCTAAGACCATTTTCTGTGAGTTGTGCTACTTTATCCCAAGGGTCGCCATGAAAAATCAATACAGGATCGTCAGCAAAAATAGTTAAATCGGCATTTTTTATATTGATTTTACACAATTCGTTAACATAAAGAAGAAAGAGCGAAGGACCTAAGAAACTTCCCTGTGGTACACCGTAAGAGCAAGAGGAAGTGCTGATTTATTTGTAAATTCTGACTAGTTGGCATCTATTTGATAGACAGTCCCTAAACCAGTTATAGACAACACCTCTTATACCCAAGTTTTCCGAACGGTTGAGTGGTATGGGAATCGAAACTGTATCAAAGGCTAAAAATAACAGGCTGTGAAGCTTTACAGCTTTACATCTTAGTCCTCAGAGGTAACATCGCATCTGTAGCCTTTGCTTGCAGTTCGTTGCAGGTGCCTATGGGCTGCAGCAGCCACTTACCATTGTATTGTAAGTTTATTTGTTACTTCAATGTTGTAAAAAAGTGATGTTGATGAAGAGCATTGTGGTAGCCAATAGATGTTATTACAAACTTGTATATTTAAGTAGTTTTCCAAATTTATGATGAACTTTCATATTTTCAGATGGATGAGGATGAGGAGCCCATTATTGTCTGTTTCACCTGTCATGCAAGACTCATTCGTTGCAGTACATTGCAACAACAGGCTGTTGAGTCAAAAAGAGTTCTGGAGCAGTTGTTTGCAGGAGGGTCCATGGTATTACCCATTCCTTCCATTAAAAACTATATAAGTCCCACATTGATTGCTTCATAGGAGCGATTTTACCAAATTTGCCAAGCTTGGCAGGTTGGTAACCACAGTTCATATTAGTCTGAGTTGTTATGAGGAAGATGCTGCCGCCCAACTCCTGTTTCTTTTTCCTTCTGCCGCCTCTCACGACACCTGTCCCGTGGGTAGGTATATAGGCTAGTGGATATTTTTACACCGTCACTACACGGTCCACGGTATTATACTTCTTATTAATAAAAGTTCACTGCTTGATGGGTCATTACCATTATAATGAAGTATTTGCCTTAATCATCACTTGGCAGGCACCTTGATGATCACTACCTGTTGCGTCTTCTACGCTGCTTCCCGTCGCCATATGGGAGAATGTTTTTTCTACTGCAAAGTTAAGTTTATCCTTCAATCCAACTTACTTTTTCGTTAGAGCAATGTTCTATGTTTTACGAATTACAATGAGTTAAGTACTTCTTTTAACAAAGCTAATTAGCTAACTGTTTATGCTGTTATATATTACTCTATTGCATACAACACGTAACATAATTAACGCACTTTGTGAAAGTAGTTTGTTAAGAATTGTTTACTGAATCGATTTCTATCATTTTTAATATAGGTAATTTTTTATCCCAAAAATAATTCAAACTACGTAATTTATAGTCACACTAAACCTGTACAGACAAAACAAACTGAAATGGACCGTAACTCAAGGCAATAAGACTTTAAAAGTGCAGTTTTATTTGTATTAATACAAATTCCGTCACTCAATACAAAATAAATAAAATTGAACCTTATTTTAAGTATGTTAAAGTTGTTACAAATACAGAGCTTGGAGTGCCTTATAAAGGTCGCAGCGGCCAGGCACCATACGAAACTCAGCAGCGTTAAGCTGCTATTTTACGCTGGTTTTCTGTGAGAGCGTGGTCCTTTCCCGGTCGAGCCGACCCATTCGTGCTACAGCTATACTACCTAAGATGTTTTAAAAGTAATACGTCTTTGCATACTACTAATATAGCTGCAGCATGGCTCTACCACTTAAAAATTCAATATATATAATATATAAAGTTCAATACAAAATAAAGAAAATTGAACCTTATTTCAAGTATGTTAAAGTCTTTACAAATACAGAGTTTGGAGTGCGTTATGAAGGTCGCGGTGGCCAGGCCATTGACCTCCCAGATCGGTTGATTTGACGCCTCTTGACTTTTTTTATGGGGACGTATTAAATCATTACTTCATTTTAGTGAGTTAACAAGTGCCGAGGACCTAAAAATAGTAATTCTATGAGTGAACGATTTTAGAATAGTGGAAAATGACACTGAATTGCTTTCTAAATTATTTTCGTTCTTTTTCAAAACGTAACCTCCACACTAGGATTTTCTCTTGTATTGTGGGGGCAGTGTACAAACATAAATTGCACAAGGGCAAACATCCAGACCCGGAACAATTATTTGTAGCCCATACAAATATTGTTCCATGCGGGATTCGAAACCGCGGTCCTTAGCGCTGCATCTCAATTGCTATGCCACTGCGCCACGGAGCTGTGGTGGACTTATTGAAAATATATTATTGTAGAGTTTAGGCTATCAGTAAGTTAAATATTTGATGCTTAAAATTATTGTAATCTTGATTCACATCTTTTAAACACTCCGTATTTGAATTGTGTTGTCGTATTGCCTCTTAGTTTTAGCAGTTCATTATTATTTACAATTACAAATAAAATGTTATGCAAATTGATAACATTTTGTAACGAATATTGCCTATTGACATTGTATCATAATCAATAAACAAAATTATTCAGTGTCGAAAGTCCAAAGCCTGAAAAGTGTGATTGAAAGATGCAATCAAATGTTTACTAGACAATTCAATGCACGGAGTTCTGACATCTGTTAATGTTCGTAGCTAGGTATTTCTTTAACGTAACCAATCATGTACCTACCTACAGTTGTGTCAAGCGGCGGCGGCGTTAACTCGTCTCGAACGCGAGCGAATACCTACTAGGCTAGCAAGACCTATACCTAACGTTCGTGGTTTTGTACGGTGACCACAACATTCTTCCGGAATT